GTAGACTAAGACGAACAGTAAGAAAACTGCATTTGAGGGTTTCAGAACGATTCACACAGAATATTGTAATTTGTTTAGTCCCGACATATCACATAAGAGAGTTTGGGCTGGAGTAGGCATATATGAGGTATCCTCCTTCTCCTCCTTGTAACTTATCGATTCTAAATAGAGCATAGTTTTCAAGTGGTATACTTGGATCAGGAATATTACTGTAGGTCTATGCCTCAGTTATCATTTTAAGTTATGGTTAGTAAATATTCGCAAACATTACTAAGTCTATCTTTTTATTACGGATCAAACGACCATTAATAAGACATATATTTAACAAATGTCCCGCTAAGCTAAGTGTGGTACGAATGGTTAAGAGGGGAAACGTTGTTAAGTTACTCAAACTTCCAAGAAGGGTTGTAGTCCGGAGGAAGGATGGAAACGTTACCTGTCTGAGAGTGCTTGGGTGAAGTGCTCGTATATTGTGCATGGGTTATGAAACGACCTGAGCAATATGTGTCGCCTGAGGTACCGCAAGTGACTGAATTCCAAAAAACTGTCGAGTGGGCTGACAGTAAATTGCACAAGTGTTATTAGCATAGTCTTGGTGATACAACTCGTTACTATGGTTAAATTTATTTGACAGCTAACGATCAACCTGAATAATCGACGACAGTTGTGGACGTTCATCCCTGCTGATGTCTCCATAGTATAAAATAATAATTTACTCTTGCAGTCCCTTTTTAACCCGCAAGGTGTAGGTTCATACGCGTCCCACGCAGTCCAAGTCCAAAAGCGATAATTCTGGGAGAGAACGGTTCTATATTTAATCAAATGGGGAAATTCAGACAATTACCAAAACAATATTACACCTTCGAGTTTCCAATTACCACAATATGTTCCGCTGCTAGAAGAATAAGTGCTTCCAGTCAGTTACTGCTAGAGTATCAAATGCAAATATGGGTGTAGCCATATCAAATTTAAACAACACATATATAGTTCAGAAGGAAACATAGAAACTTCAATATAAGTACAAGACAAAGAAATAATAATAAGATACAAATGATAAAATCTCAAAATGGAATCAAATAGAGTACCAAAATATCGAATAGAAAGAGTCAGTCATATCATAACGCAAATACATATACTACCAGGGATTTTCCGAAAACAAAACCTTCAAAATAGATTGTACACATAGCGGTACTCATCATCAATTCCATTCAGTTTTATGAATTTTCAGTCGATTCACATTGGCTGCAGTTAATCGATACCTCATTCAGTAAAAATATCCAAGAGATTTAAAGCTCCAATAGGTTCATACCGAATCACTGGTGTATTTTTTTGAATGATTATTTCGCCTTTTTATTTAATAAATTCCCCCAGGTAACTGAAAGGAATAAATCTCATCGGTTAGTAATTATGTGGTAAGCCACATCGTCACCCGCAGGCCCTCCGTAACGACAAATCCTCGCCGTATGGCAATAGAAATATTAGTTTTTAACTAGCGTATATGTCTATCAATAGCGTTTCTTGTATATCTAGTTCAGATTGGTCCTAAAAACAAGTCTTTGAAGATTTAATTCATTGAATACATAATCGCCGTAAACTTATATTCCTTAATATCATATGTAAGTACATATTAGCTGATGACTAGAACGCTGACATTTTTAAAAACAATTGTCGGCCTAAATATCACTTATATTAATCTCATACATACCATAACGTTATTCAACACGGAAACGATATACAACAATTACAAATCTCTCTTATCAAAATTAATGATACACTTAGCCGGGTAATATTCCTCGCTTACATATGATTATTGGATAAAGATGAAAACCTCGAGGAACTGAACAAAGCTGAAAACATCTCAGATTTTCTAGCTGATGAAGTGTCGAAAACAGCATTGTCTTCCTACAGTGCATTAGCATATAATCTGCCTTAACACACATTCTCCACTGAACTGATGGATACCTGCCTTCAAGCATGTAATATGCAAAGCGTCAGTTGCCAAGTCATCAACCTCAGAAACAATCCATCAAATCAGCATGCTCCATCGGAATCAAAATCGGCTGTTGTAACGACGCTAGAAAATCTATTCATTCGAGGAAAATTATTAGCTTACCAATCCCCAAAAAAACACAAAAGTCGCTACAGACCTAACACCATGCCAACGCCGCATAAAGAAGTGAGAAGTGATAAGATCGCATGTCTGTGTAACAAGGAATAATCAACCAAAGATAGCTCATAATGCTACACGTGGAGAGAACAAATTGACTTCTAACTGAGAAATGAATTAAGAGAAAGCGCTGGAAGCGGATATAAAACATGTTGCATAAGTCAGCTGACTGCCTCTGGAGGCGGGTTCTAACTCAGAATGCCCAAGCCCAGAGGAAAAGAGATAGACCAAGGAACACACTGGGTGAAGAACTGGTGACAGACATGAAGGGAATGAATAGTGATTGATTAGAATTGGTAAGGAAGGCCCAAAAGAGAGATGGACAGAGACTGCTGGTAGATACCTCATATCCCATTAGGGGTAACAGGTGTAGGTAAGAAGGTATCGAGAAATTCAGAAAGATACTGATCAACTGCCAGACTTTGGGGACACATTGTTTCCTGCCCAAATGAACGATATTTTATTGAAATAGCCTTTTGATTAGCGTCCATTTTATATAGTGTTTAAAGCTCAGTTATTTGTTCACTTTATTCATCATATGTTTCAATGAAAGAACCGAAGCCGATTCTGGTAAAGGATAATATTAGACATCTAAAATAATAAAACATGCAAAGTACCTAGATAAATTATACATAATAAAACTTTGCTCTTCTATACTGCACATAGTGGGATTATAGAAATTAGTAATATCTCAAGGTTTGTAAAATGACAGAGTTATTGAAAAAGAGGTTCTTTTCAAATAATATTGAAGGTTTGAAGGCAAAACCCAAGGGTTATTGTAACATTTAACGTCACTATGTTATTTTGAAGCTACTGAATCCTTCATCCAAGCGAGTAGTGGCCTGGAATGCACAGTTCGTACACTGTTATCCATGTGTGGATTAGCAGTGAGATCAGACAGAACTCTATGAGCACAGTTGGTAGCAGAGCGCCTTAAAATTTGAATAAGTGGTAGAAGAGCATACAAAAGAATTAGAGTTGTATATAGTGAGAAGCCCTGAAATATACCTTGTATGTCTAAAGAGGCCCGGAAAAGCCAGGGAACGTTTCTTTCTTATCACAGTTGAAAAGATTATTCGCAGAGATATTTGGAAATTGCGGAATCATTTGCCGCCATTGCGACTAAATATATGGCCATACCACTACATTCTAAGTATGTCTCTTATACTGTCAGAAGCATAAGGCCATAAGTCACTCAATGAATGTCCTTACTTTGCTGTAAATGAACTAATCATGTAGTATAGCGTTTTTCTCGCCTCCTATGGCTTTTCTCTTGTTTTGAAGTCACAGTCTAGATTTAGTCTAGGGTTATGAGAAGAGGGTAGGAACTCAGATCTTGAGTTTATTGAAGAGATTTGCCAATATTCAAGCACCACACTTAATCTGCAAACTACATTATTAAAAAAATTCCAGTCGGATAAGAGCTTATCACGTTCCAAGTCTTCATCGAACTGTTACGTAAACTTTCTCGAGGTTCAATAGATTTTCGGTGCGGATTAACTCAAGTAAGCTGCATTAACTCATTTAAGTCCTAAACACTGGTCACAATACTTTTCTTTCATTCAACATATTCCATTTCGCACATCAAACTGTTCGCCTATCTTTGATAACTCCTAACACATGCAGGAATATTCGAGCGTATGATGAGGATGATCTGTGATGATTTTATATCTAAGAAAAGAGAAAAACATGTAAATCACCAAAGTAAGAGCGTACTTGAATGAGATGACAGTAACTTGACCTCCTAACTTAAGTCTAAGATGCATATCACCATTATTGCCTAGCCACATTTTTCTTGTCGTGATTATTAGATGAATAGCACTCGTTGTTGGATGCCTGGGACGAGCGGTCTTAGGAAGAACAGACTACAAAAAAAAGAGAACGCTATCGTTTGCGCCTACTTATGGATTTCATTTGATTAAGATGCGTTGGTCGCCTTTGATCTAAATGCCACTTGGTAAACACTTAGTAATCTGATAAGCTGATGACTCAACGAGAATTCAGTTACATTTTCTGAATCCTAAACCTAGCAATAATTCGCAATTTATAGATGAGACATGAAATGAAACGATCCTTTATAAAAGAAATTTCTTTGTTTATCACTACTACAATTTTTCAAGATATTTAAATCTACGATGCGAATTAGTACACAGCAAACGTACGCAACACAATGTATCCAACTCTAGCAACCAATGATACTACCAGTTCTGAGGAAAGTGTAGCAAAGTAATGTGGAATGTTCTATTGTTAAAAATTATCTTTATGGCATGAGATTTAGTTTTAGGGGTTAGAGCAGTGCTCAGATTTTATAAGATATATATAATTCCTACGCGAAGTAAGAAAGTGAACAGATACCTTTGTTATAATATTGTCGTCTATCTCTTAAGAACTCAAGGAAGGCTTTTGCAGGAATAAAAGAAGCGAACACTTTGGGATACAGTGAGCTTACTTCGGAGGCTTACACGTACATCTATGTGGAAGGACGAAGAACCACTTTTCACGAGAACGATCGTACACGAATCAATTTCAGCTACTGTAAACTTAGTCAAATAGCTTCATCACAATCGATCGTACAATATTAATTTCCTGGAACCATTCAAAAGGAATATGAAGCGAATGCAAAGAAGCCAAATGGCTTGCACTAACTCGGGGAAAAAATATTCTATATGCATAAGATGTCTGAAGTCATATAAGGATGTAAAAAAATATGATAACGATTCAAAAATTTTCTCCCTTAAAAACCTGTGTTTCATATTATTCACAGTTTCGCACAGTTCATATTCCAAAAATAACTTTTTGCTTGGTTTTGCTTCAAATCTTTGTTTGATGCTACGCTGAAGGTCATTTTGAGGACTCGCAAATTTGACACGAATTCCGTGTTCCTCGTCTTCTTATTACAATTTCATACAATTTACGCGTACCTAAAAAATGATCAAAAGGCCAGCGGTTGTAAGAGCTCCTAAAACCTATAAAGGCCGCAAAAGTCAAGAAGGTAACATACTCAAAAATTAAAAAAATAGGATATACATAAGAAATTATTTGTTCTGATTATTCTCAATATTGCTTATTGAGTCCTATTTTTTTGTAATTTTTAGACAGATGTTCTCGGGTAGGAAATGGCTTTCAGGCCGAAGTTCCGGAACATGTTGGAATAATCTCATACGATGACTTACAAAATTTATCACCGAAAGAATTTTGTGTTTGGACACCGAATCAACAACCCAACTTGCAAGAACTAAATGCTTACCTTGATTTTGCTAAGCAGCATCAGTAAGTCAGTTTGAACCAATTATCTTTCTCGCAGATACACTCAAGAATTAGCTTTAATATTACTTCACTGGCATAACTATGATATTCCAAAAGCAGTTGACGATTTGCCTAACTATGTACCTGTTTATAATAAATGGACGAAGGGAGAGGTCAAAAAGTTCCTGAGATGTATTGACTCGAAACCGAGGAAAAATTTTGTCGAAGCTAAAAAGACGGTAATCTCAAGTGATAAAGCCTTTTAAGAATTTATGCTAAGAATTATTGACTTTTTCGGTTGATTTTTACATTTGTTGCATTGTTATCTTATTGTTTGGATCTCAAGCTATCCTGCTATACAGATTTAGTCACTATTGGTTCCAGCGTGCTCCACACCTTATTCTCAAGTAATTCTCTTTACACTTTAAAACTTTTTCGGGGGTTCTTACTATTCTCTCTTGAGCCTAGATTCATTAATAACTGGAAATGTTCAGGCAAAAAAATAACGGCGCGTGTATATAGTGTTAATATTTGTGAAACACTTCTGCGTTTCATTTTATCTAGTTAGATATAACTGGTGTTGCAGTGACTGAAAATGGTGTATAGTGTCAGTGTTCAGTTTTTAACCACTATCGTACTACGGAACTGATCGTATAATTAAGTTCTTTTATTGTATTTGTGATACCAAACATGACTAAGTAATCTTATGCTTATTTCTCAAGTTAATAAGTCTCTTACCTGTATCATCGTATTTATAGTACTATGATATCACCTTTAATAAAAGTAATTGTGGTTTGTATTTTTTAAATGGTTAGTTAAAAGCGCCGACAGATATATTAAATGAGTTTTATTGAAATAAACAGTTACTGGTAAAAAGGATTAAACTACCTGCTTGTTCGGCATATATTCTCCGAAGCATTCAGATGGAAAAGTATGTGATACGTTAGCAAAAAGTTAGCGCAATGCATTCATAAGGTTTAAACTAAGTAGCTTTAATAAAGGGTTTGGAACATATAGTAGAAACATAAATTATTCCACTGAAGTCTTTCATGTTGCAGTTAAAAAAATAAAATTTTGTCTCGTCTAACTATCCGATGTTTAGAAAAAAACTACAGTGATCCTTCGTGTAATTGTTCAAAATTATGTAATCGCTCATAAAGTTTTCTAAGGGAGGTGCTTTTATTAAGATTTCGTGTTATTTATCATCCGTTTTAAAGTAAAAATTGAGCCTTTGTATTTTGATCTTCTTTTACGTGATGGTTTGCCATATTAATGAAACATCACTAAAAATAGATAAACAAAATTACGTGGGTAAGCACTAAAGTTACCCCACATCAATTATTAGCTTCATCTTAGGATTCCTTCAATGTGTTTTTCTCTCATCGCTAGTTGCTTATTATAGTTCTACCTAAAATTAAACGTAAGACATCCATCATTAGAACAACATAATATTTATCAGAAGTCTTCATGTGATACCGACTACCTATGTGAGGAATAAACCCGATTGTGACTTGCAACCCTGATATTTGGTGGTCCACATAAGTTAGTCGTTTCCAGATCTTTTCGTTATTTGTCATTAGTTTACTTCTCTAATGTTTCACATCACTGAAAAAGTGGCAGATCATAAAATTACTCCGGTTTGGGTCATCACTTTTTTCCACATCACAACAAATGAATTACTTAAGGTCAAACATCAAAATAAACTAGAAAAAGGTGAAAAAAGACAAAACTGTGATACGTTTACTGTTGTTTCACACTGTTTATTGCGAATTTTATTGCTTCACTGAAGGCATCGTCATAAAAATCAGCTATAATCTTTAGGCTTTTTAAATTTCATATCTCAATGCATTAATCAGTATTAATGAAAATAAATTCGTCAATATCAGTACTCGCAACCTTTACTTAATACAATCAAACCATTCGGTTGTAAACTTCATATGAAAAAAATTAGCCTAGAAATCAGTGTTATTAGCACTATAAGCTTGTAGAGTCGATATCCACTTTAAAACGGTGACACTAAATTGACATCTGAAGTTGATGGTCAAAAAGACTATCTAGTATAAACAAATAACTAGTGGTAAAGCAGCAGGACCAGACGTTGAAGAAACTGCAAAGATTCTCCGTATTCTCCTTAGCCAGGCTTGAGAGGAAGAACAAATAAAATAGACTGGAAAGAAGTATGTTTATCAATATACCAAAGAGAGGAAATCTTGGCAAGTGCAGGAATTGCATGGGAATCACAATACTATCAATACCAGGTAAAGTCTTCAACAGAGTGTTGTTGAACAGAATGAAAAATTCAGTAGACGCTCAACTTCGAGATCAGCAGGACTTAAGAAATTGGTAAAAAATGCCAGAGGTGGATTGGGCACATATTACGAAACTTGCACAATTGCATCACAAGCCAAGCCCTAGCATGGAGCCCTCAAGGCCAAAAAAATAAGGCAGACCAAGAAACACTGTCGAGAATCGGAGACAAACATGAAAGAATTAAAAGCAGTTGGGAAGAACCGGGAAGGAGAGTGGAGGACAGAGTCGGTCAGCAAATGCTCGGTAGCCTACGCACCACGATGAGTAACAAGCGTAATTCTACAGTATTTGAAATTCTAGGAAGTTCATTATTTTCACATATGGCATACAAGTATCGTTTCTAAAGAAATCTTTCTGAATGTACATTACGAACTACCTTGAAATCTACAAACATGACTTGACCTTCTGCGCGTAAAATAGCAGATAGTTTAATGGCAACAAAAGGATATTTTACCGAAATTCTGCTAACATTTTCCGATGTATCTGGAAGGTATGGTGACTCAAATTTAAATAATATTCTAGTAGTTATTACCACAAATCTACACTGACAGTACCATTTGATGTACCTTATTTTTTGAAAATCTTTTGAAAACACTATACGTCCTAATCCCAAATTCAATCATTTCACTGATTGCTGGGTATTATTTTGTAACTGCAGGATACAAACATTATATTTTATCATTTACTTCCTTTAGAAGAGCCCAGCTTTCCTTTGTGTTTGAACAGAATTGTACGTTGACCAAGTTATGTGAGCTTTTCTGGTTTTATTTAGATTTTGTTACGCTAATTATTTGGTTTGAATAAGTTAACACGTTTTCCCCCTTGATAGTATAAAGTTTGAATTTCGCTATAACAATACAATTGAATATCCAGAAACTGTATGACATGGTTATCACTGCTTGCTTGACTAAAATTATCGGTTTACTGATTCAATCAAAATATTTCAAAGAGAATAAACATGTTATTGATTGATTTTTTCACGAAACACACTGTGGCTACATTCATAATATTATTATTTTAAAATTAAAACTAGGAAATGCTCTACATAGTTCTAACTGGAAGTTTGGTCTCATCGTGCAATACCTCAATCATCTTGATAGTTTAGTTTCCACAGCTAAGATTGGTGGTGACATGTTGTTCAATGAAATTTTCAGAATCACTTAAATCGTTAATCAAATGTACTGAAATGAAACAATGAAATACAGTTACCATTTTATTTCAATACTTTGATAATCTAAAGTAGATCCCATATATTATCATGACAACATAAAGTATTCAGTTGAAAACATGTGATGTAATTACATAAGAATATAACTACCGAACAATGCATGTGCATGCATTGCAAAAAATGTGACTGGCTAACAACCAAACATTTTTTAGGAAAATTATGTAATCAAAAAACTCACTCCAAGTATTTAGATATCGGTTAATTACTTGGTAGTTGATGCATATTTTCTAAGAAAAATAGCACTATTTATGTTATTGTGCAAGCAGAATGGTCTTCCAGATAAAATACTTATCTGTTTGGAGAAAAAGATGTAATTTTTATAAACATTTCGTTGTGTATTATACTGGTCCAGCTTGTTACTCAGTCTTAGTAAATCTCTGATGTCTGTTTAAACATCTCGCCTTCATTTCTGTTAAAGAACTGAATCACTTTTCGCTTTATTTAGTTTTTATCATACAGCAGTAATTCTGACCCTTACAATATATCCGGCTTACAAACTGACAAAGCCGTGTACTTTACTGCTAAGTCATTTCTATTATTGAATTAGCGTGTTTACCTTAAAAAAGCCTGTGTTTGTCGGTAAGTTATGTTGGTATTTCATTAGAAATTGTTTCTTGTTATTATGATTGGATCAGACATTGAACGTCATTTATGCACCTCTGAAACGTCCACAGCAAGGGTGTGTAGATATGGACACCCGGTTTTCGTAAAGTTTCAGCAGCTGTTAATTGTTGAGAAAATTTCTTGATAATGGTAAAAATTAGATTCTTATTTTTGAGTTTAACCTCGATTTTTATAAACTTGACATAAGAAAATTTGCACAAAAATTTCTAATAGTTTCGAAAATATTCCTCATTTTTTCAAGTTCATCACCTAATCTGATTTACTTCATTACGAAAATCAAATGTTTTAATAGTCTGGTTTTCACGATCAATCAATTTTAACATAATTTAGAGGAAAGCTGCTAGATCAACCTTACTTTCTGTTAAAAACATTCGTTTATCTCTTAATGACGAATTCATTCCGATATTACGTTTTGTTTCGTATGAATTGCCCGCTATGGTTACGTAGCAAAATCTGCATATATATTTCGATATACTTATTCAATTTCTTGGAAAAAGCAAGTTTCTGTCTTACAAAGATTTTTACAGAAGTTTCGAATGATAAAGTAGCGTATATTTTGAAAATAGGTTTTACTTATATTTCATGATTCTTTGTACCTTGTTCGAACTGGCTTTCTACACGTGACTTCACATCATTCATTTGCTATGTCTTATGTACGGTTTTTTCGATGATCTATCTACCACTGACTGAAATCAGGAAGATTATTTACTCCTTTGTCGATATTTATGCACAATTTATTGACCTTTGTTACATTTTCGAACCAGTAGGAAAATTTATGCAACCCATAAAAAAGTAAGAACAATGTACTCTGTTACATATTTGACTTCTAAATTAATTAAGCTTTTCAGTAGGATATATCAATAAGTTTTTTTTTTATCGGAAAATGATTTTTACCTAAGATGGCTATGTTACCGTTTTATTTACTCTGGATTATTGTAAGTACTTTATAATGTACCTTTTCTTTGGATTTTTAGGTGTTACTGTTTTGTTTAGTGACTTGTAATTCAATTATCTGAGGATCACGTTCTTAATAGACAATGATAGTTTAGAATGTTAGAATTCTAAGTACATTTTAGGTTATCGTATTGCATTATATACCATTTTTACAAAACTTTATATTTTTTTTTATGACTTTTCGCAGTTTTTCATCAGCTGCACGTAACTTAAAATTAAAATTGTTAACATAATTATTAACAAATGTTTAACATACTTGACTTCGCGAATTTTAGATGTTCGTTACGTCAACAAAATCATAGTAAGAAGAAGAATAGGACACAAATGGTATCAATTAACATAGTTAAGACTGGTATGTATTTAAATGTTAGCAAGTACTGATGTAGAGTAGGGTAGGTATTATAGTTACTAGTAATCATAATTGAGATAAAAGAGATTACGTAAGGGTTACGAAATTAATAAGTAATTGAGTGATTGCTCAATTCGCTATGATAAGTAAATATGTAAACATCAACAAGATGATCAAAAAGATAAATATCAGTAGACAAAAGAATAATAAATAAAATAAAATTTGAAGGTTGGAAAAAAACTGAAATTAAAAGAAGATATTAGATAAACATTCGATCGTCATGACAGAGATAGGCTACTCACACATTTCTTCTATATATATGGGTTAGGTCGGAATCGTTTAATATGGACTGCCTATGCAAAAGTGAGTAACATTGGTGTTTTTCGTCTGTTATTTATTTTTAATTCATAACTTACATCCACTTAATATTTCTTCCTGATATCTCATCTCCCTTAAACAGAAGTTGGATAAAGACAGTTTTTTTTCCTAACAATTGGTCAATTTCGGTTTTATCTTTCGTATTTCGTAACAAATTTCTCCGGACATCTAACTTCTTATGAGATGCTTTTCCGGAATAGCGAGTTCCTTATTTATCTCATCGTTTGAGTTCAATTAGTAGGTGTTTTGACTAAACACCATTTATGACTGTCAGAGCAAAAGCTATCATAGTTTAAATACTCTTCTACCCACACTTCATTCGTGTTTATACTTTTCTCAAGACTCCTATTGTTTTTCCGTTTTATTGATTCGCAATGAGAATGCCTTATGAATTCTAATGTGACATAATCACAAATTATTTAATTAAATGATGTAATTTCAAAACTTTCCTTGTTATGTTAAGATATGAAATACGCTGTCGTTATACAACTATGGAAAGCTAGTCTCTTTATTTGAATTTCCGGTGACAAATGCAAGTATTTCTATTGAACACATTTAACTAGTTTGTCAAGTTCATGACTACAGTTCAGCTAATAGTGGTAACTAAAGCGTCCTTTAAATATATATATCTTTGTTACGCACTTGAGTTATTGTTAGTTGAAGGTGCTTTATTTAGTGCTGATAATGACAGGAATTCAGAACCCAATATATAACCTAGTCCACATGCGTATGTTCACTAATACAGATTTTTTCTTTATTCACCTGATACTTTGTGTTGAGACACTACGTTTTTGTAATATATTTTCAGGTTACTTTTTTGTTCGTAAGTAGGCAGAGAATGTTTTTACAATATTTGGTAAAAATTCCTCACCTAAGCGAGATCGGAACCAAGGAAGCTGATCTCGAAGTAAGATGGACCGTACGTCGTCACAGAGAGACACAGAGCGGTTTACACGATTCGAACAGGAGACCAGCAGAATCTCATAAATCAAAGCTGACCTCAGAGATGGTTTAAGTGCTTCAGCAGGTCGAGTCACAGACATCATCAGGTAAAACAGAGGTAGGATGATCCGAACGATTGCAAGAGTAACTTATTAAAAGGAGGTGAGTGTGGTAGGCTCTACTCGTATGGATAGCTCTGCGGGAATATGTAGTAGAATGCTTACTAGCAGCAAAGGAAAATGGAAAGAGAAGGAAGCAGAGCAATCAAAGTAACAACAAGAATAAATGAATGGCGATGATTGTAAGCAACAATTTAAGGAAGATGTACAAATGGTGCATTCAGTATATTGTTTTTATGCTTTATTCACGCTGTTTAATTTTTCAACAGACAATTTTCTCGCTTGTTTTCGTTCTACGCTCTACATACGTACGAAATTCTACGTGGTAGCTGATTTGAGATTACTTTCAAAAGTCACATTAAATAAATAGTTTTTTACCTATATATTTTTTCATTTATGCCTAATGGTGCATTCAATTTTTTTAGTTCATAAATGCATGTTTAAGGAACTATATTCTTTCTACCACTTTCCTTATTTCTGCTGAGCTGTTTCTGAACAAGTTGGTTTTATAATGCTCCATAAGTTCAAAATATACCCATTATTGATCGCTTTCTAGATTTTCTTCATTGACCAGAAAAACGTGTTTCAGGCATAAAAATGTTTGGTGTGTTCTACTTTGTGAATAAGGATTCTCCATTTTTAGGAAAAGCAAGCTAAAAGTTGGTATCTCCCATCGTCTTGTATCACCTGGATTTTCGTTTCCTTGCTCTCTTATATTAGTTCTAAGTATCTTTTCATTCCGACTGGACGTTAATAAAGCCTTAAAGAAATCTAATACAACGATTTATTTTTTATCGGTTTAACATTTAAAACAAAGATTAGGGGCTATATGAAACTTCAAAGTATTTAGGTGAAAAAAGTTCCAACGAATTTTATTTATTACTGTAAATTCTGTTTATTCGCCACGATAATTCATCGGTATTTCTTTATTATTTTGCTATGTTAGTTCAGCCGCCATATGAAAAATACTGACAGTTATTGATGACATAACGTATAGTGTATATGAGCTTCAAGATAACACTGCAAAATACCTTGAGAATTTCGATTGGATAATTTTTTTGTGTACTAACAAAGCTGAAGATGTTTTAATACTTTATGAACTTGACTGAATGTTTGAAAGTATGAGTATCCATTTCGGGTTGTAACTTTCCAACCAACTACTATAAAATGGATAATGTGAAGATGGTTAAGTCATGTTGCTGGGTTTCTTAATGTTAAAAGTATCCTGAAAAATGGGTGTACTAGTTAGGTTAACGTTAGTTAGTACTATTATCAACGTCAGTTATATCATGTGTTCTTTCCTTTTTTCTCAATAAGGATAATAGTTAACTCAGTCGATGAAAGATTCATATTCAGAGTTAAGTTGTCTGGTTCTTAACTCTTTTACAATACTCTGAGTCATGTTCATTATCCGGAAATTTCAATAGTTCGGTTTCTATGTGGTGAACTAACTGAAACCAGTTTGCCTCACTTCTGTTAATAATGTTACTAACTGTCATAAAACTCATCTAAATTTCTTAAATATACTACAGGTACCCGGACGACATATGGGTGATATATGTGCTTTGTATTATTCGATTGCTGCTCCTTTTAAGGCAAGAACAAGAAATAAATATCATAGTGAATTAATTGAACAGTGCTTTTCTCGAGCTGTTCGAAACGGCTTGGTTACATGTCGTTGGGGAAAATCTCCATCTCCAGGAGACATACATACTAATAGCCGGAGATTTGGATTAAGCGAAGATCCTTTGGAGCGGGAAGTTGAATCGTATTTGGTAAATTTGATTGGTGCTTCAAAAACAGCTCATTTACTTGGAAAAGAATTAATGTCTACACCATATCCTATTCAGACTTCAGATAATCAAACTTCCCCTTCAAAACCTGTACAAGATGTCTCTTCATCCTCTCCTCTGCGAAGTTTACCGTATTCAGCTGGACGAGAAAATGAATCAAGTTCACCTACTATACCTTTATCTGCCAATACCTATCAGACAAGCAGCTCTGAAGCATCTTCACAGATTGGTAGTGAATCAGTTAGCCAAGGAAAGTACGTACATTTCTCACACAATATACGTGCTGTTATTAAACTGATAATTTACAGTGTTCGTTACATTTCATGACAGAAATATAAAACGTCATTGTAATTACTTCTAGGGATAAATAACATTAATATGCAATCACTTTATTAACAGACCGTTTTGAAAATTAATTTCTTATCTAAAAGCTAAATTATTCAACTGTCAAAAAGTTATTTCTCATCACCAGCTGACTGAAATCATAAATATTTTACTGTTATATTCTTATTTCTCGTGTACCAGTCACAAAATATGTCATTGGTTTGATTTTAGTTAAATATGAGAATAATCATAGTTAAAGGAAGACTCAACTAATAGTGTTATCTATTCAATTGTTGTTAAACAACACTAACTACTTACACATTAGATGTCTGTATAGAAAAAAACATATTTATTTCTGTTCTTTTTCAATATGTAGTACTCAGATTCTAACAACACGGTGCATTGCATTGTAATATCTATCCAAGTTACTTCACTTCGAAAATCAACTAGTACACATAATACAGATAGATAAGAAGCTAATAAGTATAAAACTACTTAATATTCAAGATCTAAGAATAAAATCAAACATGGAATGTATTCGCTGTACACTGAAGTACATACTATTGGTATCTAGTACCAAAGATGATAATAGTGGGTAAATGCAAGATGATTTTGTTCCCTCAGTGATTGTGCCGCATAATAAATCATATTTGTTCATCATTGTTTTCTATTGGTTTATTTTTAATTCATTTTTCAAATGATCAACTACTGTTATAGGGATAATTCAAACATTCTCTACAGTCAGTCAGTTACAACATACAACTTCATACGTATATGCATCAGTTCAGGTCGCCATACCACATTAGCACAGAGAGGCAATTGTCACTTCAAATCCCATAGTAGTAGAGGTAGTAGAAGTAATAACAGTAATCGCAGAGATAAGGGTTCTACGATATTCTCCAAGAGGTAGAATATAGTGAAATAAACTTAAAAAGAAAAAGATAAAGGTGATGAGGAACTCTGAATGTTAGGATTTGAGAGAAAACAAAGAATAAACTCACCAGCGCCATTGCAAACAGTTTTGCGCCACGTCATTCTGGGTCTCCAAACATTGATAGGTATCATTTCGCGGGTCCCAACCAGGTAGTCGACACCGACCAACATGAGTCAGTCCACTTGTCAGTGACTTTATGGAGTTCTACCATGTTTTGTTGTGGCCGTCCCTATCTTTCTTCCAACCTATTCCTTCATCGCAAAACATAGCTCGACGAGGCAGCCGCTGGTTAGGCATACGCAACACACGTCTCAACCACCTCAACTGATGCAGATTCGATACATCATCTATTAACCTGTCATCCTTACCTAGTACTCGTATCCTAACTAATGCATTGCTTACTCAGCTGTCCCAGGATGTACGAAAAATGCTTTGGAGACACCTATGATCAAAGACGAGCAACCTACGAATGTCCTCTACTCTTACTGGCCATGTTTCGCATCCGTATAGTAGGACGGAGTGAACCGCTGCACAGTACACTTGTTCTTTAGTTAGCGAGCGGAAATCTCGCCTACACCATAGGTGACGCAAGTTAGAAAAAGCCAATCAAGCTTTCTGTATCCGTGCTGAGATTTCGTCACACACCAGGCCATCAGCATTGATGAGACAACCAAGATAAGTTAAGCGGTTTACATGCACGACTACTTCACTCCTTATCACTAGTTCAGGTGCCGATGCGACCCAATCTTGAAGCAACATTTTGAGAGGGAAAACCTCATCCTGAACGTGCTTGCATAGTTGCTTAGGGTGGTCAGTAGATTCTTCATTTTGTCAGCGTCCTCACCGAATCAAACTATTTCATCAGCATACTCAAAGTCAGAAAGCGTGTCTCCTGGTAGAGGGCCTACTCCAGGAATGTCAGACACATTATCTACACCAATGAATGTTAGCTTACAGCATTCCCTTAATCCATTTTGTGTGGTGTATAGTGCTGTGTATACTGCATAAACTTGTAACTGAACAGTAAATTGGCGGGAATATTTGAGATGTAGTCATCTGTGCTAAAAACGTGTTAAGGTAGTAGCGAAAGTTTTCGTTCGGTTCATTTTAATAACCTTTCAAACACATTTTCATTTCCTCGAACTTGATTAGTAATTGGTAAATTAATTTTTTGACTTGGCGTTAAGTTTATGCTATGAACTTTAAACAGTTAGCGCAGATTGATTTTTAACACAAAGATTTTAAATGTTATCTGTTACATGTATACTAGTAATCCCATTTGTTCACAGTTGAAAAACTTTCTTTTCTAAATTTAATGCCATCATGCACTATTTTTTCTAACCGTTATTCTAGAGTTAATCGGCACACTCTTCCAAATGGAGCGTATTATGATCATAATGAGTTTATGTCATTTTTAACTATGTCAAATGATCAATTACTCCATGAAAAAGAAACTGATTTAGCAGATTTAGAACGAATTAAGGAGGAACTGTGTGAAAAAAATGAAGTAAGTAGATTTTTGATTTTTTTAATCTTCATATTGTACGAACCTTTCATCAAACTTCGGAAACATTGTCTATATTAATTACAGAAAATCGAAGTACTTTGTGATATGGTTCAAAGTTTGTGCTTCTCAGAATAAGGTTATTACAATTTATTGTTGTGTAGTAGTATTAGTTTCTTAACGACTAATACATTCAACTTTATGCCTTCAAGTTGCATGTCCGAATCCGTCCCCTCTTATTTCTTTTTCGTCAACTAGCTAGTATCACTTACGCTTAATAGTAATATACAAATACATTTCGTGATTACCAATTTGACACACTTTATTCTGTGAATAAATATAAATTGTGCTTTTTAGCTGATATAGTATAGTACAGTCTTAGTTTAGTAGTATATATACCCAACTACATACCATTAAGTTCAAAATCGGTTCTGTAAGTTTCGATTTGAACAAATGAGTAATTCTATCTCAAACCTTAGAAACAGACTTACTCATAATTATCCAGTTACTTCCATTATAAATAATTGATATAATTAAATCTAGTGTTTATTTTACTGTCATATTGGGTTTTGTTATAATTATTTGATATTGAATAATAATGATACTAAAATGGAAAAGTTTACATTAGTGTTTCTGTATAAAGGCGTTCGAAACTGGCCAGTCCAATTTATTTTTTTCGTTTACATTAATGAAATATAAATTGCCATCTCTGTACTCTTTTTTATCATGTATATAAAAAATTAGATGTACCTGTTAGTCATATGTAACGTATAACCTGGCAAATATATTGGCCCAAGTTTATTTTTACTTTAGCTTTAAAGCTATTCACCGGCGAACTTTACTCAGTAAGTCAGTCAGTTGCAACGTAGAACTTCTTACGTAAGTACATCAGTTCATGTTGCCATACCACATTAGCTCAGAGACGCAAATGTCAAATCAAATCCCATCGTGGTACAGATAGTAGAAGTATTAGCATTAAAGGAGAAGATTGTGGAGCGAAGATATTATTGAGGAAGTATAATTCAGTGAAACCAGTTTAGAAAGACAAAGGTAGAGGTGTTGATGAATCCAGAAGATTAGGGTTTCAGAGAACACAAAGATTGGATGCACCTGCTCCATTGTAAACGATTTTGAGCCATCTCACTCAAGGTCTCTAATCATCGGTTCCTATCGTCTTGTGGACCCCAAACAGGTAGCCTACATCTATTAACATGGCTCAGTCCACTTGTCAGTGACTTTATGGATTTGTGCCATATTTTTGGTGTGGTCAACCCTAACTTTCTTCCAACCTACTCCTACACCACAAACCAAAGCTCGTAGAGGTAGTTAGCATTCGTAACACATGTCTCAACCACCTCAATTGATGCAGATTCAATACATCATCTACTGATTTGCCATCCCTAACTAGTACTCGTCTCCTAGTGGCAGCATTGCTCACTCGGTTGTCCAAGGAAACACGAGCGATGCTCCGAAGACATCTATGATCGAAAACCAGCAATATACGAATATCTACTCTTACTGGCCATGTTTCACAGCCTTAAAGTAGGACGGAGCAAATTACTGCGCAGTACACTAGTCCCTTAGTCGTCACGAACCAGGCCATCAGCACTGATGAGACTCCCGAAATAAGTGAAGCGGTCGACACGCTAAACTACTTCACTCCCTACCACTAGTTCAGGTACCGATGAAACCCAATCTTGAATCAACATTTTGCATTTCGAAGGAGGAAAAGATCTCAGTCAACTAGCTGCTAAAACTTGACCACCATCCTTAAGAATCTCAGAAGTCAATCTATCGGGTCCTGCTACTCTCTCTCGCTTCGGATTTCCTATAGCTTTCTCAACTTTGTAAAGAATAGGAGGACTGAAATCGATTTTCCATTCAGGATGACTGGGGATCGTCGGCAACTAAAGTGTGGCAGAAGGCAAGTTGAACTGATCATTAAAGTGTTCTGCCCATCGGTCCAGTCTCCTGGATTGAGAATGGATAATAAGACCATCCTTTTCCGAGATAGTCTCACTCACATTCGGGTTCCTAATACCGGTTTCTTTGATAAGGCGGAAAAGTTGCCTACTGATGCCTATCGCCGTTGCCTTTTCCATCTCCCTTGCTTCCGCTACCCACCACTGTCCTCGATCATTGCGAAGGCTTTTTATAAGTCTGTGCCTAAGTTGATTCCGCTACTCAGCGTACTCAGAGTCAGGTGGGATGCGTTATCGAGCATCCATCATTTCGGTAGATGCTACTGAGATCCACGACTTTTTCCTAACCTTATAGTTTACCTTACTAGCAGATGTAACTGCTGTTTCCACAGCCTTTTTGATATCATTCCAAGCTGCCTCAGGGTGGGCATCACTTAATACATGGTTGCCTAAATGTCTTTCTAGTTGTTCTTGAAATATATTCGCCTTATTATCATTAAGTAGAACCTTAAGTGGTTTTCCGGCGGTATATTTCCTACGTCCAGTAAGCCTCAAACAAATACGAGCTCGCACTAGGGCATGATCTGAATCTAAACATGTGCCCCAGAACGAGCGACAGTCCTCTGTCGAACCTCTATATCAGTGACTGATGGCGTAATGATCTAGTTGGGTCCAACATTAAGACGACTTCAAGGGTCGCCAGGTTAAAAGATGTTTTTCCTTATGCTTAAAATTAGTGTTTGCTAGAAATAGGCGGCTATCTGAGCATAGTTGCAACAGATGGTCGCCATTGTCTTTTTTCTGAGCCGCGACACCATAACAACCACCTAGGTGTCTTTGCTGCTCACTTCGTCTACCTACTTGAGAATCAAAGTCACCAGCCATTATTGCAATATCTGAGCAACTAACTTGTTGGAGGAGGTCCGAAAACATTCTGTAAAACTCATCTTTCGCCTCGTCTGAACTGCACTCAGTGGGAGCGTAGGCAGAAACGTTGAAGAGTCAACGACGGGTGTCCCTATCTTTCCTATTCCTTACTATCCCGTTCAGTCGAACAGCGCACAAGCGACTTTTTACTGGAATCTAGTCTAGGAAATCTAGTTCTGCCCTACGAATCAAAGCTATACCTACACCAGCGAGACCGCGGGAAGCAGTATCAGGGCTACAGGATACAAGAAGAGTAGTTCGGGCTGCTTCTTTATCTTGACACGGTGAGGTCAAGTGAATGATGCTACTCGGATCCTGCGTGCGGGTTTCCGAGACGCAGCAAAATTCAATTGAACGAGATTCTAAAGTCCTAGCTAATGATGCCTGTTGCCCTATTTGACACAATGTCCGTACATTAAATGCTCCAACATGTAGTTTAGAACGGGGTTTCAAGAGACCAGAAATAACGTTTCGTGAACTCGCATCGTTTGCATTAGCTTTGCACTGTGATAAATGAATGTGATAAGAGTTAGTCGTGGAGATAAGATAGGTATTATGGGGTGAAGAAGGATTCGATTTTGGCCAATTGGGTCTCGTGTGCTAGTACGGGTATGAGGGCGGCTGTCACTTACCGGCTGCACACACCGTGGAAAGTTGTTTCTTGAGTAACCTGAAAATGAAGGTAGATTAGTGTCAGTCCTAACGACTTGGGAGCATGACTGCAGAGCCCAAAGGACAACTGCTTCAGGCCGGCCACGCACGGCCTTTTTATGAAGGGTGTTTTGAGTATTAGCTCCGCTCTTGAAAGCCCCTTACCGCCGGAGACGGAAATCCGTGAGGTAGGGTGTTGAGTGACATCTTTAGGATCCGACTTCTTCTAACCCTTCCTTCCTTGTGTGAAGGTAGCATCGCTGCAGATGCTGGTTGTCCGAGGGAAACACCTTACTGCTGTCACACTCCTCTGCAGTCAGCAGTACGACTACGCACTCAGACCTTGAGTAGCTGCTTTTAGTCTCATCGTTCTCCAATCAACCTGCATGGAATGGTAGAACCTTCAGGAACATAAGTTCCAGCCAGTTTAACTCGGTTGGGTCATCACGATAAGCAATCCTGACTACCATGTCAAGGTAGCAGCTGCTGTCGGTCGCAGTTCACTAAAAGTCATCGGGATTCCTTCAAATTTATCTCAGGTTTCATCATCTTTCATATGAATGTTTTCCATTATTTCTATCGCGGACTTGACTGGGAAAGTACGTGTTTTAAAGATTCGTTCTCAGAGTTCAGAGTAGAGCTCATCACCAATTCTTCTGCGCTTACAAGTTTTTCACCTTATGTTTAAAAAATTAGCGAAGAGAGTAAGGTTTTTATGTCAGAAAATGTCATGCTTATTTTATTATTTACACTATATAAGTATGGCAAAATGTGACGGACATTTGGAGGAAATCGATTTTTAACGTTACCCACACTTTGATCAATTAGGACATAACTGTTAAGCCTAGTTCTCTGACATTTTGTCACATAAATAAACGTGATTTATCTAATTTCTCGATATACGTTCGTAAATTTGAGATATGTCATAAAGATATCTCTAAAAAAATCTTAGGAATCAGCCTTATGTTTCCACTTACGTCTCCCCGATGTTTTTCATTAGGCGAATGGTTAAAGAATGTTCATCATCATCCCATAACTTTAGTTGTGGGACGATAACTGTTGATGGGGTTTGATGTATGCGGTTTTCCACCAGTAACAATCAGTTTCTGTTTCTAGAGAAAGAGAGAGTAAACAGTTTTAGAAGTAGGAGAATATCAGAAGCATCATATTTGAAGAAAATAGACGCAATCTTGTCTACTTTATGACTGTTTGAAACATTGAGGGAGTTGATAGGTTTACTAATTTTTTTAAAAAAAACTAGATTTTATTGACTTATTAGTCACATACATGACTTGTCAACCAGTACCATTTAAGTATTCATTGTTTTTTGCAAAAATACTATTGAAATGCTTTTACCCTCGTGTATATCTAAAAGTTATCCAATCTGGGCTTGAATGAATGATGAATAACTGTAATTCAACCCTTCTTCACTACTGTATGTGCTAATACACTACACTACGATCGTGAATAGTTATTTTTCTGACACAAATACGACTCCTTTTA